TTTTACGCTGAGGGTGGTGAAACACTGGCCCAGGTTGCCCAGAGAGGTGGTGGATGCCCCATCCCTGGAAACATTCAAGGTCATGTTGGACGGGGCTCTGAGCAACCTGATCTAGTTGAAGCTGTCCCTGCCCACGGCAGAGGGGTTGGACTAGATGACCTTTAGAGGTCCCTTCCAACCCAAACTATTCTATGATTCTATGATAATCAAAACATTGTTTCTCAAATAATCCAATATAATATCATGCACTTTTCTTAAGGACTAACTTAGAACTGCACATGCTGAAGTGATTTATATTATAATTCCCATGCACTCATCTAAATTAAATTTAATCTGACATCTTATTACCAAGTTCTATTACGTTCTCCTGGAGCTCTTAGTAATCTTTCTTAATATTTCCTTATTTAAATAAATTTATGATATTACCATGTATTGACATCCTGCTTTTCACCATTACTCTAGGCACATAACATAGTAATATATCAGTTGGTGTACAAAGCGCAAAATAACTCCAATGTTGACTTCTTTCTAGTCCTTCCCAGTCAGAGATCTTACTCTTTATGCTTCCTACCTCTTCATGCATTTTGCATGACTGGCAAAACTTTCCCCCTGCCTTAGTTCCTCCAATTTTCCTTAATAATTTTGTATGAGTTACTTTAGCAAAAACCTTTCAAATATCTAAATATATTATAGCTCTCAGTTCTTTTTTATTCTATGTTTCATTAAATCCTTCAAGAATTTGTAGCACTTGAAAAGACATTATTTAACTTTATAGAAACTATGCGGATTTATCCTTTGAATTACTTTATATAATATAACTCATAAATACGTATATAATAGATTTTTGTTATCTTTTATGATCTTCTCAACTGCTTTCCTGGCTCTGAACAACAGTTCTTCATATTCTTCTAAGATGAATTGCTATCTTTTAAAAGGATGACTACAAACCTGAGTACCCATCAATCTCTGGCACAGACGCAACTGGTAATAGGAAGTTACGGTCTTGCTATAATTGTTACTCTGAAAAGTCCTGTAAGATTTCCACCAAAACTTCCACTAGAAACTTATCACAGTATAGATAATATAGATTTGAAGTCTAATTTCTTCACTTTTTCCCTCCTTTTTCTTTTCTCAATTTCACTCCCAGCAGAGTAAGTACTATCCTCCCAGGTGAAACCAAATGAATTACGTCAGCTAACATTTCTATAATGTCTTGAAGAACATCTTTATTCTCTTTAACATGCTTCTTTCATATTTGCTATGACTTGATGAGCAAACAGTCTTCATATCATGACTGAGCTCAGCCTCAACTGACCACTCTTGGAACAGACACAAAATTAAATATGCCTATTGGGCCCATTTTTGAAACAAGCATATCACTGGTAT